AGCTCCTGATCTCCAGACGCTCAGAGACTGATCTCCTTCTCTCTCTCCTCAGAACTGGAGCCGTATAAATACGCCGGCTACCCCATGCTAATTAAGACCATCACCATGGAGACGGGTGATGGGCAGCTGTTCTCCAAGACCTCGGCTCTATTACCTGCTGCTGCTGAGCTGGCCTTCCACACCGTCAACTGTTCAGCACTGAACGCGGAGGAGCTGCGGCGGGAGAACGGCATCGAGGTCAGCATGTGTTGACATTACCAGCAGCAGTCACACTGTGGCTCTTCACTGTCTGCTGAGTGTTGATGAGGCTTGTGTGTTGTGTGTCAGGTGCTGATGGAGGCTCTGTCTCGCTGCGTGTCTGTGCTCACCGCCTCCAGCAGACCGGAGGACATGGCAGTGCAGGTACATCAGCACAAACACACATGTGAGAGAGAGCGGCGCTTCGAGGAAGCTCAGTGAGCTCATGCTATCGGTGCATTGTGGGTGTTCTTCAGGTGTGCGGGCACGTCTGCAGGTGCTATAGCGTCGCTGCTCAGTTCGAGGAGTGCAGAGAGAAGATAGTCGAGCTTCCCAACATTATTAGAGATGTTTGTCACATTCTCTACTACAGCAAGGTAAGAACACACATCGCTTTATTACACGAATATGACTCCTATCCACTGTCAGAGAGCAGGACACATCTCATTCTTTTGCAAATAGAACACCACTATCTGTATAATTTAATTATGGACTTGATATAAAACGTGACACTTGCTCTTAAAAGGGACATTTTGTACTTATGTAGAAAATCTTGTATTATTATTAAGGTGTAGGTAAATATTATTAATAAGATCACTTAAAATGTTGGTCAAGATTTCTTGTATCAAAAATAAAATATTTTTTTTTATAACATCATCAATATGAATAACATCACTCGCACACACACACATCACTCGCACACACACACATCACTCGCACACACACACACATCACTCGCACACACACACACACATCACTCGCACACACACCACGCACACACAACGCTTCCCCGCGATTTTTATTAATACAATAGCCTAGATACTAGACCGCTATATTATATTCCTCAGCAACGAGGTGGTAAAATCACTGTTTTTGAAGTAATTGTTTGTACAGAGAGACGCGCAGACACAGCACGCAGGTACACACAACTGTCATCTCTCTCTGTCTCTCTCTCTCTCTCAAACGATCGATCGATAATTAATTGAAATACATGCTATAATTAATTCAAATAAATGTGGTCTTACCACACTATTTCATCTCTGTGTATGATTTGAAGTGGGCTAAATGCTAGCGCTAACGTGCCGTAACTGACGAAAATAACTGTCAAATATTGTGCTGCAAAGAGCAATACTAGTTTTAACTTGTCTATAACCTGGCAAATGACTATGGAATAAGCGGGATAATCAATGGCTAGCTGTGCATTAAAGGATTTTAAATGCACTTCGCGGAGGCAACCGCCCGACGCGAAGCCTCAACGTCGTGCATTTAGAATCCATTAAGTCAGCTCCTTCGCGGTGGACTTCTTCCTGCAGACGCACCTGTACAGGGCTGGAGTGCTGTGGCACCTGCTCTTCACGCTCTTCAGCTACGACTACACGCTGGAGGAGAGCGGCGTCCAGGCCAGCCACGACACCAACCAGCAGCAGGTGTGCAACAGCCTGGCCAAGCTGAGCGTGGGGGCCCTCGGGCGTCTGGCGGGGTACAGCGGGGCCCGGGGCCCGGAGGACCAGCCCAGCGGAGGAGAGCTCCCTCCAGAGAACCCCTCCATCAGGAAGAGCCTGGGGGCCATGCTGACGCCCTACATCTCACGCAGACTGAGCCGCAACTCGCCCGCCGAGGTACAGAGGAGCAGCCGCTGCGCTAGCGGCCGCACCATTAATCCAGATTACATCACAGTCGCGATCAGACAGAAGCTGTGATAGTCGTGCGCATTTTTCAGTGAATCAGGGTTGTAGCAGAGTATATCGTGTAACACTGCTGCTGCTGTATGCTGAGGCGGTGTAATGCAGTTAGCGCTGCACGATTAATCGAATGCGATAGTCGTGCATATCTTTCAGTGAAGCAGGGTTCTGTGATCAGCAGTAAATCTCCATCCGAAGGCCAGAGAAACTCCAAATACACCCCACAGAAGAAAGATAATGCACGTCGTTCCAGGAAACAGAAGATTTAACTGCTTTCACTGATTCAGCGTGACTAATAAACACAGGACTGCGACAATATATGGTTTATCTTTCTTCTGCGGGGTGTATTTAGAGTTTCTCTGGCCTCCACTGCTTCAGTAGTAGTGTTGAGATGTTTTAGTCAGGTATCATGTCAAAGTCAAGTTTTGGTATTGTGCCAGCACTAGTGCTGCTGTGATGTGAGCAGTGAGGGGTTGAAGGATAGATGGACAGTGGCCGTGTGTTGAGCTGTGGTTCATCTGTTGGTTCTGCAGGTCCTGAAGCTGCTGAACAGTAACTCGGAGACGCCGTACTTGATCTGGAACAACGGCACGCGAGCAGAGCTGATGGAGTTCCTGGAGGAGCAGCAGGAGAGCAACATCAAGAGAGTGAGACGCTCCTCACGATCCTCTGCTGCTCCTCACACTCCTCTGATTCAGATCACACTCACTCTCTGTGTGTTTGCAGGGCGAGTGCGACACGAGCTTCGGCTCAGAGTTCCTGTTCAGTGAACACGGGAAGGAGCTGATCGTGGGAGAGATCTTCGTTAGAGTTTATAACGAGCAGCCTGCGTTTCCTCTGGAGGTGAGAGACGCCTACACTACTGTACTGACGATCCAGAAAAAGTCTCTTCTGCTCACCAAAGCTGCGTTTATTTGATCAAAAATACTGTAAAAATAGTGAAATATTATTATGATTTAAAACAGCTGTTTTCTATGTGAATATGTGTTAAACTGTAATGTATTTCTGTGATGTGCAGCTGTATTTTCAGCATCATTACTCCAGTCTTCAGTGTCACATGATCTTCAGAAATCATTCTAATATGCTGATTTGCTGCTCAAGAAACATTTCTGATTATTATCAATGTTGAAAACAGTTGTGCTGCACAATATTTTTGTGGAAACTGTGATACATTTTATTTTTCAGGATTCACAGATGAATAGAAAGTTCAAAAGAACAGCATTTGTTTGAAATAGAAATCTTTTGTTACATTATAAATGTCTTTACTGTCACTTGTGATTGATTTAATGCATCCTTGATGAATAAAAGTGTTGAAGTGTAGTGTTAAACTCTGGTCTGTGTGTGTTTGTCAGTATCCGAAGGCGTTTGCATCGAGTCTGCTGGACTATGTGGGCTCTCAGGCTCAGTATCTGCACACGCTGCTGGCGATGACGCAGACTAATAAAGTGGAGTCGCAGCAGCACGCTCAGAGACTGCGCTGGGCCGAGATGGCGCTGGAAGCTCTCCGCAACGTCATCAAGAACAACCCAGGTGCCTGAAACACAGCAGACTGATGCATGTGTGTGTAGAGGCTGGTTAGTGATGTGTGTGTGTGTGTGTGTGTCGCAGGCTCTGAGACGGAGTGCATCGGTCACTTCAAGCTGCTCTTCTCTCTGCTGAGGGTCCACGGCGCCGGAAGAGTCCAGCAGCTCGCTTTAGAGGTGCATTAGAAACCTGTGCTGCTTCATACTTCACAGACACCATCATCTCTGTTAACACTGTGTGGTTTGCTGTAGGTGGTGAACACAGTCACATCAAACCAGGACTGTGTCGTCAACATCGCTGAGTCTCTGGTTCTGCCCAATCTGCTGGTGCTGCTGCACTCCTTACCCTCCAGTAAGACTAATGAACCTTTAATAATAATATATACATTCAGCCCTCGCAGCGTTATTACAGTTCACTAAAACTGCATTGAAAACCATTAAAAATATATATTTCTATTACTTGAAATAAAATAATGTTATTAATGGTAATGTTGTATAAAAAAAAAAATTTCATCTAGTTGCCAAGGCAAAATTTTTCCATTTTTATTTAGTTGAAGTGGATGTACTGTAAGTAAATCTAAATATTGAATAAAAACTATAAAAAGGTTTTCTAATATTGTTTAAAAAGATTAATAATAACTATAATTGTGTCAATGATATGTTGAGGTCACATCACCATCTAAATATTTGCTATTTTTTCCGAGCAACTGAACACATCAGTTGTGAAGCAGATTAAACACTCACACACACACACACTCTCTCACACACACACACAC